AGCGTTTCCAAAGATTGAACGGAAAACTAAGCTCAAAAGCTTACAAAGTCCTTGAATGACAATTGGGTTTATCAAATCTTCTAAAAAAAAACAAAAAATCTATGGAAAGTTTCTGAAAAAAAGACCTATAAAAATGAAAAAACATATATAAAAATAATAATATAAAAATTTATTTGAAACTTAAAAAAAACAATCAAAAAAAAAATTAATATTGCAATTTATTAGAAAATAATATCGGTAACACTCAAAAAACATGGAGCATAATAAAAGAGGTCACAGAAATAAACAAAAAACTTAAAAATGAAAGTGATATTTCACATGAAAGTGATGTTTCAGCCTCCAAACCTATAGATATTGCTGAGAAGTTTAACAGCTTCTTTACAAAAATTGGGAAAAGACTAGCTGACAAAGTAACTCTTGGAAAAACAAGTTTTAAATCTTATTTAGAAAAAACAAATTTTGTAATGGAAAAGCATAAAATAATTCCTAATGAGCTTCAAAACGCCTTTAATTCCCTACAATCAAACAAAAGTCCAGAGCTTGACGACATCAGCGCGAATGTCGTAAAAAGTGTCTACGATATTATTGAACATCCCCTTCTGCAAAATTCTTCTTTAAAATAGTTTTGCTCCTATCTTCATAATCAAAAATAAGCATTAACGTATAACAATACTGTTACACAACCTAAAAGTATTACATATGGGGTCCCGCAAGGATCAATTCTAAAGCCATTGCTATTTCTTGTTTATATTAATGAAATCTTCTCATCTTCCAATAAACTCAACATTGTTCTCTTTGCTGACGATACGCAAGTTTCTTTTAGCCACAAAAACATTAACCTTATGTTTAATACGGTTAATCAAGAGCTAGAAGATCTAAACGAATGGTTTAAGGCCAACAAACTCTAGCTAAACGTAGAAAAAAGCAAGTACATTCTTTTTACAAAATCTTCTGGTTCAGACACCCTCCCCTTAAAACTTTCTGAACTGCTCTTATCAACAAAACTAAACCTATAAGAGAATGCCTAATCAACTTTTTAGGTGTAATTCTTAATGAAAGAGTTTGCTGGAGTAGCCACATCAAAAAAGTGGAAAAGAAAATATCTAAAATTATCGTATTTATCAAAGCATCTTCTTAATACAACTTGTTTAAAAAATATTTATTTCTCTTTTATTCATAGCTGCATCAATTACTGTAACATAATCTGGTCGAGTACATATCCATTAAAGTTAAATGCAATTTACAAAAAACAAAAACATGCCTGTCGCTTAATATTAAACGCAAAGAGGTACACCAGTGCCAAACTTCTACTAAGAGAACTTAAAGTTATTTTTTCCTTCCTTTCCATATGAATGATGCGATTTTTGTCCTTTTTAATTGCACCGAGAAGGAAATATTTTCCAAAGTGAAATCCAAGTTGTTGAAAAATTTCTTTATGCAAAACGTTTGCATAAAGAAACTTTTCAACAACTTGGATTTAAATTTTTGAGGCCGATGATTTTTTTTTTATTTTTACTTTCAATAATTGTCTCCAGATTTAGTTCATGAATATTGCACAAGAGTGAGTACTCCTCTTGTTCTCAATGTCTTCGAAGTAAATATTCTTAAGGTGGTACTAGCCCATAAAAATTAAAACAGTCAATTTATTTAATTTTGATGTAATATTTTTTTAAAACTGTGTGTATTAAAAAATTATTTAGAGTAAATATAATAAAAAGTATAATTATACTCAAAAACATGCCGAGTCAGCAAGAAAAATACAATTTTAACTACATTTTTAAACAAGGATTTCTCATAAAATAGTCAGTGTATGAGGCTAAAATTTTGCAAAAAGGTTAACAACGTGTTGATTGAGGGATTTGACCAGAATCACCATCAGAACTTTTACAGAACCAAAATGGCTGCACTTCAAAAAATAATTTTTAATTTATATGTAAAATTTGTGCTGCTAATGTCAATATCTCGAAACAGCTAACTATAAAATTCTCTTTTTGGTCAAATCACTTCACAGTAACTTGATGAACAATCAGTGAAAATTTTAGCCATAATCTCCGAGTAGTTCAAAAGATATTGTTCAAAGTTTAAAAATCTGTTAACAGAGAAAACGCAAGAAAACAACTTTAACAATATATATCTTTAAAAATTTCCAGACACATAGGAGTCATCCTTGCTAAATCCTTTTCTTATACCTCTTAATTTTCTCCTCCTTGATTTTGTTACTTCTTTTCCCTTCCTTTCCATATGAATGATGCAATTTTTGTCCTTTTTAATTGCACCGAGAAGGAAATATTTTCCAAAGTGAAATCCAAGTTATTGAAAAGTTTCTTTATGCAAAAACCTCCATTAAAAGATATAACTGCTGAGAAAACAGCTAATTCTAAAACACTTTTTGAAACAAAATGTGTTTTAGGGTATTTTTCCCAGATTATTTGATTAATAGACTCATTAGGATTTTGGGTATAGCTGTGTAAACATTTTGACAAAAGATTGTCAGAACTAAGTTCCATAAATATTGGATGTAATAGGTTTTTTATAGCAACTGGTAAGTTTAACTTATTTTTATAAGTGCATTAGCCTGTAATCTTATCCCTTTGCCATTTGCACCAGCTAGTATTGGTTCTGGGACAAAATTGATGGCGCGTAGCAGCATCACCTTCACATCTATGCCATAAAACTTCAAGTACAGCTTTTTTCATAGGCTACAGTCTATCATTATGACAAATAGCCATACCAAAGTAATTCTGTATTTAATTAATACTTGCATCAGTTAGTCTTCCTTTACCTGAGAGAGTTTTCCTGTCATTCAACTTTTCTTTTTTTTTTAATGCACGAAAATTCCGAAGTCATGTTTCAAGTCTCTTTTGAACATAACCAAGACACTCTAGTTTTTCTGGTATCAAAGTTTCTCCATAAGGTCTTGCTTCTCTTACTTTGCTGTATGCTGTAATGTCCCTATCTCCTATATAATGACTGTACCTTAAGTTAAACTTACTTAATGAAGAACAAAAAATAGAAATAGCACCAGCGGACTCTATAGCACCAGATGATTCATTTGACGCACTTCATGAGCAGCTTTTTGGGTACTTTTTCAGCAGATTTTTCATATGCACAATAAAAAGTCTTATTAATTTTTTTTTTATACGAAGTAAATCCAATAGAAAATGGCATACTCATCATTGTTGTAAATGTTTCATTTCCAGCAAGACTTTTACCTATCTCGCGAAAAGCCCTAACTGTGTGATTAATTTCATGTGCTTTTTTTACAAGTTTTACAAAAAAAAAAATTGTTTTTATTTCCCATCTAAGAATAAAACAGTAAAATGTGAAAAAAAATGCAATAAGTTCAATAAAATAATCATAACACAGGACCGACGACACGGGTTTTGAAGTTGGGGGGCACAATTGGGGGGCACAACCATCAATTTGTGAAAAAAGTCCTCTATATCAAGATTTTTCTTTAAATAAAAAAAAGGTCCTTTAGAAAAAAAGTGTTTGTGTGGGGGAGGGGTGGGGGAGAGACTTGTCCCCTGGCCCCCCTCCCCCGGTATCGGGGGAGGTCGTCGGCCTTGTAAGAAGCTGTTATTGATATACTGTTATAAGGTCACTTCTCTCTCACTATACAATTCATTTTAAGTATTAATAATGGAACTAACGTATTTGCAAAGTTCATATAAAGCAAAGGAGTTATATATGAAATGTAGAATAATAATAAAAAATTAATTGTTTGATGAAAGTTATGGAAAATTTGCCCGAAAGTAAGCATTCTTTATTGTTGCTATGCGGTTGCTAAGGGCTACTTTTGAGATCATATTACCAAATTAACATTTTCTATCACTAAATTACTTAAAAACATAGTAAAACTATACATTTTTGAAATCTACAATGATTCTATTTAAAAAATTTAGAAAAAAAAAATCTGAAAATTTTAAAATTTGTTGGGCTAGTACCACCTTAACGTTGGGCTAGTACCACCTTAACGTTGGGCTAGTACCACCTTAACATACTACTTTTTATGTTTAAGTTAAAGAATCTACTACTAACAAACACTTCCCAATATCAACTTATTTCTATAAACCACAAATACCAAACTAAGTACTCAATTAACAACTTTGTTATTCCAAAAATTTTATTAAAACACGCTGACTTCTCAATATCTTGCCGAGGGCCGCGATTGTGGAACTCGATTCTAACAAGTAATATAAAGACTATAACTTCCACTCTACATTTTAAACGTGCAACGAAACAACGCATACTCAGTTTTGATTATAATCAATTATTAACTTACTTTTATAACTTTTATTATAACCCTAGTTACTTAATAACTTATATATTGACGCAATACCTTTTTTGTTTTATTTTTTTCAATAAGTATTTTCAATATGTTTTTTCTTTAATATGTATAGATTTCAAAGTTATGTTATTATATTGACGTAAAAAAAAAAAAAAAAAAAAAAAAAAAAAAAAAAAAAAGGTTTATGCATGTGTATTATATACGAGATTATATCTAAATTTGTAATAACGGGGCTGGATGATAAGATTATGTCTTCTGCCAGCTCCAGTCGGAATTTTATATTGTTATGTTGTAAAACATTGTAAAACTTATTTCAAAGGACGAAATAAACAAATAAAAAAATAAACCGGGTTTCACACGATCAGTTGATATTTATGTAAGTTATTTAAATCAATACCAATTAATGTAAATAAATTTCTAAAGAAACAAGGTCTAGGAACTTATGTTAAAAAAACTGATATATTCAATTTTTATTATTAATTTGCCTTGAAAAACTTATTTTCATTCAAAACTTAGATAAGAGTAGCAAAAAATATCTATAAATACATTTTTTTTTTTACTCATTGTTAAATTAGCCAATCTCAGTTTTTATGGAGATTCTCTAATTTCTATGTGGGATTATATTATTTTTTGATTAGAACTATTTTGTACTTTTATTATTCAATTATACGAGGATTATGGGTAATATACACAATAATAATTATCTGGGTTATAATGTGGGTTTATGTCTATATGGATTTGTGTCGGACTTGTTAAAGCAAATTTCTAAAAATTTTAAAATTCGCACTAACATATCCGACACGATTCCACGAAGGTATTTCAAAAATAAAAAACCTAAAATTTACATTTGTTTTCCAAAGGTTACAAAAAATAAAAAATAAAAAAATATTATTAATAAATATGAAAGGATGAAAAATGAATGATTTTATTTTATTTTCATTATTTAAATTTGTTTTTATTATTCAAAATTTATTTTAATTATTCAAAATTTATTTTAATTATTTAAAGTTCATTTCTATTTGCAATTTTTATAAATTCATGTTTTACCAAAATCTTCTTTATTTATTTTAGTGATGAACACGTGTTTGTCTCAGAAATGTTGGATCCTCTCGCATCAAAGCTTTTTGAATACCAGAGAAATGTGCGTTTGCATAATAATGACAATCCTTTCTCATGTAATTATAGATAGATAATGCTACATCTGGACCCAAAGTCCTATTTAAATAAACAAAAAATGTTAAAAAGTATTGTATAACTTATTTTTGAATTCTGTTATTACATTGAATAAAAAGAATCCTAAACAAAAAATTATAACATTAGAAACAAAAAAAAAAAAACTATTCACAAAAAACATTTATAACTATTGTAAAAGTGAGAGTTGTGTTTTAAACTTTTTACTACTATTAAGGTAAAGTAACGCGAAAATTAAATGTATTAAAAACTTAATAAACATTTAGCCCCATTTTAACTACGCAAATGTCTAATCAATATGTTTCAATGTGTAATCAATACGTTTCAAAGTGTAATCAATATGCTTCAATGTGTAATCAATAAGTTTCAATGTGTAATCAATATGTTTCAATGTGTAATCAATATGTTTCAATGTGTAATCAATATGCTTCAGTGTGTAATCAATATGTTTCAATGTGTAATCAATATGTTTCAATGTGTAATCAATATGCTTCAGTGTGTAATCAATATGTTTCAATGTGTAATCAATATGTAAACAAAAATGTGTAATCAATACGTTTCAGTGAGTAAACAAATGTAAACACTAAGTAGCTTATTTCTTTTGTGTCAATAAAATTAAGATAATTTAAATAGGTAAAATAAAATGAGCTAATAATTCGATACTGTTGAAAGAGAGCTAAAAAACAGTTTATAACTCGGTACCGTTGAAAGAGAGCTACAGAAACATTTTAAAGCTTTTTATACGTAGATCATGACATCTCAACCAGAGGCGATTTTAGAAATAAAATAGGGGGGGGGGGGTGAATCCTCAAAATGTACCGACTAGCAGCAAAAAAAAAGGTCCTCAAAACGAGAATTGAACCGACTAGTCGACTGAATTCATAAAAAAACCGACTAAAACTTGAAAATCACTAACGTTGGAGGGGGGTGCGGGTGCAGGTGTAATACCCCCCCCCCCCCCCCCGTAAAATCGCCCCTGATCTAAACAGACATTTGACTATTACAAATGAAATTTCAAACATTTCAAACGGACAAACATGAAAATGTTTCAAATAACATAAAACACAAACATGCTAGCAAAACCAAAAATTTAAAAAATACCTAACTTAACTTTGCTTAATAAAAAATATCAGTAAAGTATGTTTAAAATAAGAAAAATAATTTAAAATATGTTTTCTTAAGTTACAGGTGGTTGCACCCCAAAAGCCACGCGAAAGTAGGAGGGTCTAGATTTATTTTCTAGGGACAGATCATAATTTTGTTAATATGGGTTCTGAAAGATAAGCCTAAATAGGGTTCTTCCTGGTAGGTATGGTTTTTTAAGTCTCGCTTGAGTTCTTTTTTTAGAATGTTGAAGTTAACCACACTTTTTTTCATGCACCCCAAAAACAACATTGACAAAATTGGCTATAAAATCTAAACTATTTGGAATTAAGACCTGATTTTTTGTAGAAGATAGTTATAATAAATTAGTCTTAGGATGATTGTATCATTGCTAACTTAAATTTTTAGGATGTACTTCAATGTACCACAAAAACCACATCATGTGCACCCCAAAAACCACGTTGGTTATTTGAATATTTTAGAAAATATATAAAATAATTCAATAAAAAAATTTTAGGATGTACTCTAAGATAGTAGGTAGCTCTTTGTCATCATAAAAAAAAAAAAAAAAAGTTAATGTATTGTGGAAATACTACCATTGAACTATGTTATGTTTTTTGTTGTTTTAGAACTTTGTTTAATATAATATTATAAAGTAAAATGAAACCATCATCTGCATTACATCTACGTATAAACAAATCAAGAAATCTCAGTACTAAAGCTGATGCCATAGTGGCCAGAAAACACACAAATGATAAAAATAAACAGTTAGAAGCTGCAATAAATTGGTGCAAAAAATTTAATGGAAGGGGTCAAGCAGCATTAAAGACAGGTTTGTTTCCCCTTATTAAAGATAGAGAGACAATCAACAGGCGATTAGATGGAAAAGTGATTAATGGAAAAGTATACTATACTTACAGATGATGAAGAAGCATCTATTGTGCGTTTTATAAAAAATAAGAACAGATGTTTACAGGCAATTAACAAACAGGACATAACCAAATTAATTATTAATGTGCTTCGTGTGAGAGATTACACTAATACAAAAATGAAAGGTGGACGGAAGTTTCAAAAGTTATCATTAAATGCTCGAGCTGCTCTAGAAAAGGGAAAGTAAGTTTAATTGAATTCATTTAATCTACAATGATCCTATAAAAGTATGTAAGACGGGTAATATGACTCTTTTCTTTATGTAAATATTCCATTTTATAGATTGAGTCGATCATTTTAACTTCGTTTTAATGCTAAACATAGCAGCCTTACAATCAAACGCCAAGGGAGTGTCTCGATAAACCGTGCACTTAATTGTTCAAGAGAAATGGCATGTAATCATTTAGGTAAGTTATTAATGAACAAATATAAATTCATAAATCTGAATGTACTTTTTTTTTTAATTTGTTCATTTCCCTATAATAACATTATTTCAGATTCCCTTGCTAAAGAACTAGTAGATGTTGGTATTATGATAAATGAAAAAATGATTGAAACAGGGGTTTGGAATGGCACTGTTGATACATGCCGAATATTTAATTGTGATGAAACACCCCAGTTTATTAATTATGGAATTGATGGTACCACTTCTGAATTATTTTATGCTGGCAAAGGAGATGCATGTCAAAGAATGTATAGAGAAAACAGAGAATGTGTCACAATTCAACCATTTGTTTCATTTTCAGGTATGCTATAATATGTTATGGTTCAAGAAAAAATTGAATATAAATAAATACAAGCATTAAAAAACTTTTTTATTTTTTATTTTTAGGCGACATATGTATGTGTCAGGTAATATTTAAATGTACTGGTATTACTAGTTCTATGGTTCCAACAGAAGCAGTAAATAAAATTCCCCATTTGTTGGTCACAACTACAGATAATAGAGTATCAACCCATGAATCTTTCTTGGCAGCATTGAAAGAGTTTGATGTCTACTTAAATGAAAAAAATGTTAAGCGACCCATCGTCTTATTATCAGATGGACATAGCTCTAGACTAGACTTTGATGTATTATCTTTTTTGGAGTCCAAAAGAATTCATCTTTTTCTTACTCCACCAGACACAACAGGAGTTACTCAACTTCTTGACCAAGTAAACAAGAACATTCATAGTGAGTATCGTAAGCAAAAAGACTCTATGTTTTCTGATATCTGTTCCTTAAACAAAGAAGCTTTTATGTTAGTTTTAGCTAATATATGGGACAAGTGGACAACCAAAGAAACGCTTGTAAAATCTGCTAAAAGGGTTGGTGTTGCCGAAAATGCATTGAGTGTTGATTTTATGCAAAAAGACAAATTCGAACGAGCAGAAAACTGTATTGAACCAGAAAAAACAGACTTCTCCACTAATTTCTTCGCCGGATAAAAGACGTGGTTCAGCAAATTATTGGAAATCAAAATTTGAACAAGCGATGGAGTTGATTGATGAACTTCATGAAAAGAGCATTCAGCTGGAAGAAATACCTGGTTTTATGACAACCAAAAAGATAAAGCCAAAATTAACAAAAGATGCAACACGTGTTACCCAAGTACATGGATCAATGACTGCAAGCGATGTAATAACTCTAGTTGAAAGCATAAAAAGAAAAAAAGAAAAAGAAAAGGAAAAAAAAGAAAATGCTGCAAAAAAGAAAGAGGAAGTTACAAGACTCTTTTATAACAAGTAAGCTTCAATGCTATTGCGAGGAGATAAAATGTAAAGCTTTTGGCTTAAAGCAGTGTCCAACCTGCCTCAATATAATGCGGTCCATTTGCAGCAAAGCAAACTGCAAAGTAAATGGAAAAAACCCAGAAATGATTTTATCTGCAGCTGCTAGAAAGAAATAACTGTGATATTCAAAATCTTTTTTATTGAATGAACTATTTGTTTTAAATTTGTTGTAAAGACTTGTTCTGGATAAACTTTTTTTTTTTAACTTTTTCTTAGCGCACCGCAAAAACCACATGTTAAAATGTAATTTTTAAACATTTTTTCACAAGTTTCCCTTCTACTTATAATAAAAATGGTTTGATTTATGTAAATAGCGTATAAAAGATAAGCAAACTAGATGGGATTTGCAAACTTAGTCTAAAAAACCAATATTTTATAGCAATATTACTTAAAACTCAGTTATTTTTCTCAGCACTTTTTAAGTTTAAAACGGTTGTAAAAAAAACTCCTTTATTGTTAATATTGATTTCTTTTGTTTTAATTGTTGCTGAAACATTCCTTTATGAGAAAAAATTTCTCATATGGTTTTATAATGCATATTTAAATTTTTAGAGCCTTTTAACTGACCGCGTTGTTTTTGAGGTGCCTTGGTTTTTGGGGTGCATCTACCTGCAATAGCCTTTTTAAATATAACGTATGATAATTAATTATATTTAAAAAGTAATGCGAAAATAAATTATTTGAGTTTTGTTGGGATAATAATGTTAAAGATTTAATAATTTTTTTAATATAGCTGTCATATTTATAAATTATTTCTATAGTAAGAAATGCTTATGCTGCATATTTTATATATTAGGTTTATAACTATTTATTAATATGGCTTTATAAATAAATACACCCGTGTTTTTTTTTAATGTTTTACATTACAAACTATTTTTTAAATTAAACAAATTTTGTAATTTGTCGCTTGTATTTAAAAACTAGTAAATGAAGCAATATAATAGATACAGCTGTTACAGCTGTTTTTAAAAGTACGGGGGTATACTACTTTTTTTTGTATGTTTATCTCAACTTTTCTTTTGTTATTTTTACTTGTGAAAACCTTTTTATTCTATTTGGTACTTTTATGGATTCATCACCCTTATTTTATTTCTAGAATCTTCTCTGAATCAAACATCAATGAGCCTCCTAAACCGCTGACTCATGCAAACAATTGATTGCATGAGTCAGTACTGACTCGTGTACAATATGACTATTGCACAATAATGTCTAATGAC